AGTGTACGATACTATTTAATTCTACTACTATCTGTTATTCGTTTGAATATGATACGTGTACTTCAATTTTTTGGTATTTCTGTATCTGATAATTACTACTTTAAGGTAAATCTCTCCAATCTACATCATGAAACAATAATCTATTTCTGTATGATAATTTTTATAATTGGCTATGAATAATATAACCAATGAGATATATTATTGTCAATTTGTCGTCATGTTTTTGAGAATTAAAAAATTGTGTTCAACATTAATATATTCAGTGCAGAAAATGAATACAAAGTGTACGATACTATTTAATTCTACGACTACCGGATAATATTTTGAATATGATAAATGTTCTTCAATATTACAGTAATTCTNAATCTCTCCAATCTAGACCAAGAATCAATAATCTATCTCTGTATTCTTTATTTTATGATTGGCTATGAATAATGTAACCAATAAGATACATTATTGTCAATTTGTCGTCATGTTTTTGAGAATTAAAAAATTGTGTTCAACATTAATACATTCAGTGCAGAAAATGAATACAAAGTGTACGATACTATTTAATTCTACTACTATCTGATATTCGTTTGAATATGATACTTGTACTTCAATTTTTGGTATTTCTGTATCTGATAATTACTACTTTAAGGTAAATCTCTCGAATCTACATCATGAAACAATAATCTATTTCTGTATGATTATTTTTATGATTGGCTATGAATAATTAAACCAATAAGATATATTATTGTCAATTTGTCGTCATGTTTTTGATAATTAAAAAATTGTGCTCAACATTAATATATTCAGTGCAGAAAATGAATACAAAGTGTACGATACTATTTAATTCTACGACTACCGGATAATATTTTGAATATGATAAATGTTCTTCAATATTACAGTAATTCTGTATTTGTTAATTACTTCTTTTTGATAAATACCTCCGATCTTGGCCGAGTATCAATATTTGACTTCTCCAATCTGATTTTATTCATTCCTAATAAATATTATAATTGCATTTTTATATAATTGTCAATTGGGCAATAGAGCCCAATTATTAATTTTGTGTCAAATTATTTTTTATACATTGCTGAAAAATGAATTTAACATGTATCATAATGTTAATTATTACGACTATCGGATATTCGTTTGAATATGATATGTGTACTTCAACTTTTTGGTATTTCTGTATCTGATAATTACTACATTAAGGTAAATCTCTCCAATCTAGACCAAGAAACAATAATCTATCTCTTTATTCTAATTTTTATGATTGGCTATGAATAATATAACCAATAAGATACATTATTGTCAATTTGTCGTCATGTTTTTGAGAATTAAAAAATTGTGTTCAACATTAATATATTCAGTGCAGAAAATGAATACACAGTGTACGATACTATTTAATTCTACGACTACCGGATAATATATTGAATAAGATAAATGTTCTTCAATATTACAGTAATTCTGTATTTGTTAATTACTTCTTTTTGATAAATACCACCGATCTTGGCCGAGTATCAATATCTGACTACTCCAATCTGATTTTATTTATTCCTAATAAATAATAAAACTGCATTTTTATATAATTGTCAATTGGTGGGCAATAGAGCCCAATTATTAATTTTATGTCAAATTATTTTTTATACATTGCTGAAAAGTGAATTTAACATGTATCATAATGTTAAAATTTACGACTATCGGATATTCGTTTGAATATGATATGTGTACTTCAACTTTTTGGTATTTCTGTATCTGATAATTACTACATTAAGGTAAATCTCTCCAATCTAGACCAAGAAACAATAATCTATCTCTTTATTCTAATTTTTATGATTGGCTATGAATAATATAACCAATAAGATACATTATTGTCAATTTGTCGTCATGTTTTTGAGAATTAAAAAATTGTGTTCAACATTAATATATTCAGTGCAGAAAATGAATACAAAGTGTACGATACTATTTAATTCTACGACTACCGGATAATATTTTGAATATGATAAATGTTCTTCAATATTACAGTAATTCTGTATTTGTTAATTACTTCTTTTTGATAAATACCACCGATCTTGGCCGAGTATCAATATCTGACTACTCCAATCTGATTTTATTTATTCCTAATAAATAATAAAATTGCATTTTTATATAATTGTCAATTGGGCAATAGAGCCCAATTATTAATTTTGTGTCAAATTATTTTTTATACATTGCTGAAAAGTGAATTTAACATGTATCATAATGTTAAAATTTACGACTATCGGATATTCGTTTGAATATGATATGTGTACTTCAACTTTTTGGTATTTCTGTATCTGATAATTACTACATTAAGGTAAATCTCTCCAATCTAGACCAAGAAACAATAATCTATCTCTTTATTCTAATTTTTATGATTGGCTATGAATAATATAACCAATAAGATACATTATTGTCAATTTGTCGTCATGTTTTTGAGAATTAAAAAATTGTGTTCAACATTAATATATTCAGTGCAGAAAATGAATACAAAGTGTACGATACTATTTAATTCTACTACTATCTGATATTCGTTTGAATGTGATACGTGTACTTCAATTTTTTGGTATTTCTGTATCTGATAATTACTACTTCGAGATAAATCTCTCCAATCTACATCATGAAACAATAATCTATTTCTGTATGATTATTTTTATAATTGGCTATGAATAATATAACCAATAAGATATATTATTGTCAATTTGTCGTCATGTTTTTGAGATTTAAAAAATTGTGTTCAACATTAATATATTCAGTGCAGAAAATGAATACAAAGTGTACGATACTATTTAATTCTACGACTACCGGATAATATTTTGAATATGATAAATGTTCTTCAATATTACAGTAATTCTGTATTTGTTAATTACTTCTTTTTGATAAATACCACCGATCTTGGCCGAGTATCAATATCTGACTACTCCAATCTGATTTTATTTATTCCTAATAAATAATAAAATTGCATTTTTATATAATTGTCAATTAGGCAATAGAGCGCAATTTTAAATTTTGTGTCAAATTATTTTTTATATATTGCTGAAAAGTGAATTTAACATGTATCATAATGTTAAAATTTACGACTATCGGATATTCGTTTGAATATGATATGTGTACTTCAACTTTTTGGTATTTCTGTATCTGATAATTACTACATTAAGGTAAATCTCTCCAATCTAGACCAAGAAACAATAATCTATCTCTTTATTCTAATTTTTATGATTGGCTATGAATAATATAACCAATAAGATACATTATTGTCAATTTGTCGTCATGTTTTTGAGAATTAAAAAATTGTGTTCAACATTAATATATTCAGTGCAGAAAATGAATACAAAGTGTACGATACTATTTAATTCTACGACTACCGGATAATATTTTGAATATGATAAATGTTCTTCAATATTACAGTAATTCTGTATTTGTTAATTACTTCTTTTTGATAAATACCACCGATCTTGGCCGAGTATCAATATCTGACTACTCCAATCTGATTTTATTTATTCCTAATAAATAATAAAATTGCATTTTTATATAATTGTCAATTGGGCAATAGAGCCCAATTATTAATTTTGTGTCAAATTATTTTTTATACATTGCTGAAAAGTGAATTTAACATGTATCATAATGTTAAAATTTACGACTATCGGATATTCGTTTGAATATGATATGTGTACTTCAATTTTTTGGTATTTCTGTATCTGATAATTACTACTTCGAGATAAATCTCTCCAATCTACATCATGAAACAATAATCTATTTCTGTATGATTATTTTTATAATTGGCTATGAATAATATAACCAATAAGATATATTATTGTCAATTTGTCGTCATGTTTTTGAGAATTAAAAAATTGTGTTCAACATTAATATATTCAGTGCAGAAAATGAATACAAAGTGTACGAT